GGCTGGCTGGCTGGCTGGCTGGCTGGCTGGCTGGCTGGCTGGCTGGCTGGCTGGCTGGCTCTAAGCACTTAAATAGAAATATCGATATACTAAAAAAAATTCCACACGCTCTCGGTGTATGCCTAGTGCGTAAACCCTGATATAACAATGCAAAATGGGTTTTGGCGACAACTCACCTATAGGCTGCCGTAAGCCTCCGAAGCGCTAACACAAACCTGATTCACCGAGCAGTCACCATCTCCACCATCTCAGAGTCACGATCGGCCAAGTTCGCAAGGGCCTTGATTACAACGGAAGGCGCACTGGTGTTGCGGTCAAATTCGTCTCTAGTTCATGTTCTGATCTCGACTTGGTGCGAGGCTATTTATTCCTCGTCCGCAACCCTACACGGGCAGGAATAAAATGAAATTATCGAATAGGACACAGTATTAAATTTCCCAACGAAAATGTCACCTGCAAAGCCCAATCTTGAACTGCAAATCGAGGTGGCCCAGACGGCCGACCAAGTCTTGCTCGCATTCGAGCCTATGCGCCAGGCCTTTGGCTTCCAAACCCGCGACGCCGTCTTCACCGGCACGAACCCCGACTGGGACACGCCCGCCGGCGCGCAACAAGCAGCCGAGCGCTTCGCCACCCGCTTCACCCGCGCCACCACCAATGCCGCCGGGAAGCCCAACTCGCTCTTCCTCGTGGCGACCGTCGCCGACCCCGCGACGCGCCGCCGCGTCGTCGCCGGCATGGCGCTCTGGGAGCAGGCGTCCGTCGTGCCGGGCCACGGCGACGCGCCGACCGCGGACGAGGGCGAGGACCTCGGTGTCACGGCGCTCTTTCCCGGGGATGCTCCCCGGCAGGCGTACTGGACGGCCGTCATGGGCGCCATGCACAGGCGCCGCTGGGAGGTGGTCGGGTCCAAGGCGGCAGCGTGCCCGCCGGCGCTCCTGGCACTCGATCTCTGCGCCGTGGACCCCAGGTTCCAAGGGCGCGGCATCGGCAGCAGGCTCGTCGAATGGGGCCTGCGCGAGGCCGAGGCCCGCGGCGGACTGGAAGCGGTCACGGAAGCGTCCGTCATGGGCCGGCCCGTGTACTTGAAGCTCGGCTTTGAGCAGGACGGGCCGGAGATGGACTTTGCTGGGGTGGGAGAAGTGGGAAAAACTCCGCTCCCCTCACTGGTGTTCCTGCGCACGAGAAAACCCTAAGTCTGGCAAAGGTCGGTGCTGCGATGAAGTCCCGTGCACTACATCACTCCGTGTACGGGTGGAAGTTGGTGTTTGACTTGGGCACACAACTCGATGCTCACTGATGGGCTTAGTTTTTGACCAAAATGTTGAGCTACGAATTTGAAAGCATGCAAAAATAAGCCACCCTCGAAATAAGTTAGCTTCGAAAGCGGCTGGCTCCGAATATCGAAATGAAGCGCCTCTACGGATAGTATGAAGCAAACTCCTAAAATAAAGCTCGCCTGGTAGCTGGCCCCTCTAGATGAACTTCACAAATAAATACTTCCAAGTCAATTAGCGACAATCGAGTCGCCTGCTTGGTCGTTAAGACGTGACGTGACAGAAGATATCTATAAAATCAGTAGTAAAATTAATGACTAAATTATAATTCCACCTATCGCAGAACGTGTATTTTCAAAACAAGCACATATCTATAGTTCTACTTGCAGAGTTACGGTCCTCCCGCGTATCCCTTCATCACCGACGCAAATTTCTGCGCCGCATCCTCGCCAAAGAGCAGCTGTCTGTTGTTTTCCGTTTCCTCGGCCTTTTCGCCGGCTCGACTCTGCATCTCCGCCTCGACAGCCTTGAGCAACGGCGCCAGCGCTCTCTGGAAGGCAGCGACGTCGGTGTGGCTGGTTTGCCAGGCCGCCGCGACCGCCGCGCTGACGTCCAGAGCGTCCCACATGGCCAGATTGACGCCCTCTCCCGCATACGGCGTCATGAGGTGGGCCGCATCGCCGATGAGGGTGACGCCAGACACGTGGTCCCAGCGATGGCCGACGGGAAGCTGGTACGACGGGCGAAGGTCGTATTTGGTGGATGCGCCGCGGTTCACCGGTGCAGCGCTCGCATCACAGGCGGCCTTGATGAGCTTTTTGGGCACGTCGCCGAAATTCTTATAGAGGGTGTCCGTCGTCACGAGATAGTCGTATAGGGCGTCGGCATCTAGGTCGTGAATCTTCTCGCGCTCCGCAAAGTCCTCGTGGGCCGAGGCCATGGTGATGTACAGTCGCTCGGACTGCTGGGCCCCGCGCTGGCCCATGATGGCATTGCCGCCGCCTAAAATGCACAGGGTTCCGTCACCGCAGAATTGCGCAAGTTCGGCAGATTTCTCTGGCAGGTGGGAGATGGTGAGGGTGAGATTTTGCAATCCCGTGTACTCGGGTTGGGCGGCGGACACCAGTGGACGGATGCGCGACCAGCCACCGTCTGCACCAACCACGACATCAAAGACGTCTGCGTGGTCACCAAAGTCGAGCTTTGTTTTTCCTTCCGCGATGCGCTCCGCCGAATGAAGTTTGCATCCCCATTTTATGACGCCGTCGGGGAGTTCGGATAGGAGAAGGCGCATGAGCTGGTGCCGCGCAATCTCAGGGCGGTTGTTGCTACCCTCTTCAGTGTATAGGGCGTTGCCGGCAGCGTTGACGATCCTCCAGGCCTCGGAGCAGTCGCTCGTGCAAGCCGCGAATGCGTCCGAGAGCCCGCATGCTGCAATGGCCTTGAGACCAGACTCCTCGTGCAGGTCGAGACTGCCAGACGGGAGGTCAAGCTCTTCGTCTGTAGGGCGTTGGCGTAATTCGTAGACGGTGGCGGGAATGCCGGCTCGGTGAAGCAGCAGCGCAAGAGTAAGCCCCCCAGGGCCGCCGCCAACAATGGCAATCTTGGGCCGGGATGAGGTCATTTTCAGCAATGGTAAAAGGGGAAACTGTTGGATGATCAGGCCGCTTAGGATTAAAGTCTTGGTTCATGCTTTGAGAAGTGTTTGCTTCACACTGGGAATGTCGGGTATTTATAGATGTAGTTGTTGTCGCTGGTGCGGCTCGGCACCGGAAAAGCGGATCCACCTGGCTTCGGGACCGAAGCTTGAGCAGGCAGTATCTCACCTGAGGGTACCTCAGTGAGTTCGGCTGAGGGTGGCATCCCTCAGCCGACGTTGCCCCACTAATTTCTAATGTACACTATACAAAGGTCAATCAGTGTATAACTAGTTCCTAATCGGTTTATAACTAATTACTAATCGATTTATAACTAATCTAGGTATGTTAGTGGTTAGGTTAGTGGTTAGGTGTTTAGGTTAGTGGTTACTTAGGGTTAATGGTATATGATGATGGTTAGTTAGGGTTAGGGTTAGATGTATTGTATACATCTAAAAGAAATGGGGCTACCTTATCTGAGGGATGCCACCCTCAGCCGAACTTACTGAGGTACCCTCAGGTGAGGTGTATCCACGAAGCTTGAGCGGGCCGCGACTCGCCTATTCCGAAGCTTTAGCTGCCTTTGCAGCCTTTTCCAAACCCTCCAGAAACTGGGGCACGTCCGCAAGCCGCTTCGCCTCCGCCTCCTTCAAGTACCACTTGACCTCGCTCCGCGTCTTCCTCTCCTCATACGGCCTTCCCCGCATCCACAGCAACCACTTCTCAATCACCGCCGCCGCCCTGTCCACGGACGTCTCGAACCACTCATTGTGCTGCTTCTCGCAGCGCTCGCAGTATAGCCGCACCCGGTGCTCCCTGAGCTCAGCGTGTATCAGCCGCTCCACGCGGTGCGCGTGCGGCACGGCCACGGCTGCGGCTGGTAAAGGGTACAGGACCGGTTCGCGGTGGCAGTCTTTTTTCCACTCCTCCAGCCGCTTGGTGACGTCTCCGGTGAAGCCTATTTTGACGAAGGCGTCGTTGCCAGGGACTTGGTAGAGATAGATGAAACCGGAGTTGACCTCGTTTCTGGATCGATTGGCGTCGGTGTTGAGCAGCTCGCGCGCGGTATCGCGGATCTCGTCGACGATGGACTTTTCCTCGTCGACCATGTCGTTTTTGCCAAGAATTCTGAACCGACTCGTTTCGTACCCAGTATCCCAGTAAGCGCGTGGATTATCCATCAGCAATTGACCCTCGGGTGAGAGCGGAGGTGATGTCAATGTGCTTCGGTCGGCGTGAATATTCCCCTCTTGTGCTGTGGCCGTGTGTCCTTCGACTAGTCTACTGCTCACGTTGCGCTCCTGTTGACAGGCTGCACGGAATTTATTGACGAGTCTCTTCCAATCGTCTTGCTGCCCGTAACAATACTTTTGATGCACATCGCAGAACATGTAGTGTTCCAAGACCTTGGCCAAAACCGCTAGATGATGGTCCTTCTCTTTCGGCTCCATTGCCCAATTTATCATTTCGTTGGTTGTTTGCTTGATGTGAAATCGCCTGTCCGATCCTATTCGATTATTGCACGGTTTGCCGTCTTTCTTGACAGAAGTGCACTTGGCTGGCGCAGGTCCCAAAATGGTGCGCAGTCGCGTTTGGGGGGACGGCACAGGTCGCGCACCCGGCAGCACCGTCATCCAGTGGCTCACTCTCGCTTCTCGAGACGGTGGGTGGTCATGATAATGACAGTGGGCTATCTTGGCCAGATTATCGAGGTGTGTCTCAATCTCGAGCGATGAGTTGCTGGGAAGCCCCTTTACGAGCTTGACGATGTCGTCTATGCTCTGCATCTTCTTGGCGGAAATCTTGTTCTCGCAAGACATTTTGTCTTTTCTGGTAGCTCCGCATGTCATGTCCGAAAGAGACAGTGCTGCTTTCCAAGTGTCAAGCTCCTCCGCCTCTTTCGTGGACTCGGATCCATCTTCCTTCTCCCCCGTCGTGGATTCGGCGGGGGTAACTGGACGATCATATTCCGTCGGCTTCTCGGGTGAATTTGCCGTTTCGGTGAGATCGATGGATGACTTGGCCTCTGATTTCGTGATCCTTTTGCTGGGGGCTGATTTATCGGCGACCTTGAGCGACTTTGGCGATGTGGGCGGGCTGGGATAAAAGTTCGCACGCGACACCCCATCGGCTTTGCTTCCCGACTGAGACATCTTGAATCTTCACTTAAACGAAAAGTCACAACAAAAGACCCTTCAACACGAAGTAAAATTCGGACACTTCAGGTCGCCGGACGACCGAGTTTATTGCTGAAGGATGAGGAGTGAAACGTCCAGAGTTCAGCTCCCAACCCCTCACTTGGCGCTTACAAACGCAGCCTCTTTAGCTACAGGCCGCAGTGGCAGCACATCTTGCAAATCGCATTCGCACATATATCACAAGAGTCTGTATGCCCATATCGATTTCTTTCCGTCTAGACTAGTCTTGTCGAGTTTCATTTGCGCGCCACACCACACTCGTCGCCGTCATGGTGTTGTCTGCGCATCACGTTTGGAGGCGAGCTGCGCCACAAATACTCAACCTTTCATGCATGAAACCGTGCCCACGTGGCTTTGGGTAACGTTGACGTGGTATCACATCTTGGAAGCAGCTAAAATCCTTAGATTAAAGTAGTTTAGAATTTCAAGGAACTCGCCCATTGTCACCCCTGTTTTCCGGCACCCGCTGATCGCCGTTTCATAACGGTGGCGGGGCCTCGAACACAAACGGACCTGGGATGACCTCATTTTGATGCCATCGATACGCCGCCAAAACTTTTTTTTCGTATTTAACTAGACTTTGAGTAGCCTTGTCAACACAATCCCTCAATCTGATGCATTCGGCAACTAGCATAGCGCAATCCTGTTTTCACCAAAAATCTCACTACTTTAGTTCGCCATGTCGGCAAGGACCGCCAGCATCAGACCCGACTTGCCCCAAAAGCGCGAGTCTGAGGCACTCGCCCGCTGGAGAAGCGATGCGCAAAATGTTCCCGTAACTCCCGCCTTTGGACACGAAAAACAGAGCTTGCATGCGAAGCTTGGCTCGGAGACGACGGGGCAGGATTATTTCGGCCAGAACCCACCACCTCTCCAAGGCAATGTCATTTCTGTCACGTTTACTCTACCGCGTATTTTGTATAAAGCCGGGAAGCTCGAATGGGTAAGACTACACACTTCAGGTGACGACTTTGAATGGTACTGATTGCGTCAGGACACCGATAATCGTTTCTGGCGGTCTGGCCATCTCGACTGTCTGCTGCACCTGGCCCAGGCTCCTCTACGGCAAACCGTGATTGCCTGGACGGGCGAGATCAACCACCTCGACGAAAAGCTTCCTCACAGCCCTGCTGAGCCATCATCGACTTCGATTGCTCCGGGTGGGCACGCCGAGGAAAAAGACGATTCCAGTCTTGACGGCGCAGTCATTGTCACGACCGAGGAGCAGAAGCGGCTAGAGACAGACTTGTATCAGAGCCGCGAGAGGATTGTGCCAGTCTGGCTCTACTTGAACACGGAGTGGAAGGAAGACGGCATTGAGCTAAAGAATCAGTCCAGATGGCGAGAATACGCCGAGCATGACTTATACCCGCTCTTCCACTACAAGCAACGGGAGCCCACGGGTGGCGGCGATGAAAGACTGCGATGGAATGACTATCATCAAGCCAACGAAGCGTTTGCAGACAAGATATGTGCAACCTACAAGCCTGGTGATGTTGTTCTGGTACACGACTTCTACCTGATGCTCGTGCCCCGAATGGTTCGTCAACGACTTCCCAGTGCCCGCATCGCCCTTATCCTGCAAACGCCGTTTCCGACGAGCGAGTTTGCGCGATGTCTGCACCGTCGGCAGGAGCTCCTCGAGGGTGTACTCGGTGCGGACGTCGTCGTTTTCCAGGCCTCTCTGTATGCGGAGCATTTTGCCAACTCGTGCGCCAGGATTCTCGAAACACAAGGCGGGCCAGAGCAAATCATTCACGACGGCAGATGCACCCAGCTGGTGCATATCCCTACGGGCATCAATATCCAGCACATTTCTCAGCACGCTTTCAACCCTACCGTAGATGACCTCTGCAAAGAAGTCCAAGATTCATTCTCCGGCAAGAAAATCATCCTCGGCCACGACCCCATGAACAGCCTCAGCGGCCTCGACAAGAAACTCCAAGCTTACGAGCGGTTCCTACACAACCACCCCGAATGGCAAGACAAGGTCGTCCTTGTGCAGCTGACCAGTCCCGCGCTGCTCGAGGTCGGCGGCACGGAAGAGGCCGACTTTGCCTCGCGCGTCAACCTCCTCGTCGGGGCCATCAACGCGCGCTACGGCTCCCTCGGGCACACCCCCGTGCAACTCTCCCCGCTGCCGCCGCAGCAGGATGCGTACCTGGCGCTGCTGCGACAGAGCGACGTGGCCCTCATCACCAGCGTGCGCCAGGGCATCAGCACCACGGCGCTCGAGTACGCCGTGTGCCAGCGCGACGCGCGCGGCACGCTCGTGCTCTCGGAATTTAGCGGCACGGCCGGCGCTCTGAGTGCCGCGGTCGTTATTAACCCGTGGGACGTCGCGGCGGTGGCCGACGAGATTCACAAGGCGCTGACGGCGACGCGCGAGGACAAGGTGGTGAGCCACGCAGCGCTGTTTCGGCAGGTGCAGGATATGGCCGTCGAGCGCTGGGCGAGGAAGTTGTTTGGTGTACTGGAGAGTATCCCGCTGCGTGACTCTCATGGAGATAATCCCAGCCCCATAATCGAAGAGCAGTGATGGGAAACACTGAGCGAAATGCCTTGTGGAAAGAGGGCAGGGAAAGGAAGGAAGAACAAAGACGAGAAGATGAACAAGATACTAGGAAGATGATCGGACTAAGGAGAATACCACAGAATACTGGTGATTTTGTCACCCTTGCGCACCTCTTCGCTCGCAATTAGCCTCTCTTATAGCTTAGCTTGTGATACGAAAACACTGACTCTATTGGAAAGTCTATAATATCTAATACACCACCATATATAAGTATCGCTAAAAAAAAGTAAGATCTACCCAGTAACATTACTCCCCAGAGCAGTCAATCGTGTCTGCCTGGTCACACCACAGCTGCGTTATGGGCGCTCCCCGCACACCTCGGGCGAGCATCCGCTCTCGCATCTCGGACATGCGCGGGCGCACCTCGTACATGGATCTGTTCTTTCCGTCAGCACCGGACCGGCCGGACCACCAGCTCTCGCCCGCGGCGGCAGCGCGCGGCCAGACAAGGGTGTCGAGGCTCGTGGCGTCGACCGTCTCTGTCCAGAGGGCGACCTCGCCGCCGATGACATTGGCGGCCGCCTCATCGGCGAGGCCGGCACGGATGTCCTGGGCGTAGATGAGCCGCCAGTTCTTGGTCGGCACGCACCAGTCGGTGAAGGGGTAGGCGCTCTGAAAGGCAGGGCCGGTTTCGTAGTCGATGAACTGGCCGCGGCCGCAGTCGAGGTACTTTGTTCATAGTTAGCACGACCTGAATTGTTCTTTGTTCTTCTTTGGCAACTCTTCCGGGTTCCAATGGTATGGGTACTCACGTAGGCGTCAGCGGTGCTGACAATGACTTTGTGACCGGCCTCGGCCAGCTTCTTCACGCTCTTTGCTCCAAGCCATGACTGTACCACCACGTCCTTGCCGATGGTCGCGTTCCATTCGCTAACCATCTCCTCCCAGACCATGGGTACAAGGCCTCGCTTGCGAACGTTGTCGTGTGCGTGGTCGAGGAACCGCTGCAGCAGGGGCTGCAGGACGGACACCTCGTTTGTCTTGAGGTCCGGGTCCAGGAGCGAGTTGTTCACCTTGTACTCGTCACCGCCCGTGTGAAAGTACGCCGTGTAGGGCGACACGCGTGGCAGCAGGTCCTCGAACAGCTTATCCAGGAATTCCTCGACCTTTTTGTTGCCGAGGCGGAGCGAGCCGCAGGGAGGCTGGGCGCAGTACTGCGTGTACGGACGCTTGTTGTAGGCGACGGAGAGGTCCGGGTAGGCGCGCTCGATGCCGAAATGGCCGGGCATGTCGATTTCCAGAATGATCTGCACGCCGCGGTGGACTCCGTACTCCTGCAGATCGGCCAGGGCGGCCGGTGAGTAGGTGCGGTCCTTGGCGTACGCGTGGCGCTCGGCCAGCAGCGGCAGGGCGGGGATCTCGAGCGGCCAGGACTGGGTGTCGGTGACGTGCAGGTGCAGCACGTTCATCTTGGTCATGGCGAGGCCGTCAATGGTGCGCTTGATGTCCTGGACGTCGAACCAGTGGCGGCTGACGTCGAGCAGCAGGCCGCGGTGTGCGTACTTGGGCGCATCGGCGACACGCACCGGCGCCTGCATGGTGTACCAGGCGCCGCCGGCCGCGTGCTGGAAGAAGAGCTGGGAAAAGGTCTCGAGGCCGCGCAGGACGCCTATCGCCGTCTTGGCCGTGATGCTCGCCCCGCCGTCCGCCGTCACGTTGAGCGAGTACGACTCGTCGCGCTGCTCGGCGAGCGGCTTGAACGCGCCGGCGGCGTCGTCCTTGCCCGTCTGCGTGATGGCCAGCGTGTGCACGCGGTTCTTCTCCGAAGGCCCGCAGCGCGGCTGGAAATCGGCGCCGGGCTGGTGCAGCATCCACGGCACCAGGCCGTGGTTGAAGATGGCGTTGAGACACCGCGTGAGCCCGCCCTGGACGATGGACTCGGAGGTGAATTTGCTGCCCGCGGGGGGGTTGTAACAGCCCGTGTAGGCGAGCTGTTGTTCTCTACGATTAGTGATTTGCTCTTGATTTTTGGGGGCCGTCTCTAGTAATCCGGATTTGCTTAACGTACAGCTGCGCCATTGTAGGTAATGTTGATGGTCTTGTCGATGTAGAGCGTTTTGTTGCCGGTGGAAATATCGACGGGGATCGGCCAGAGCGCCACAGTAGGTGAGGCGGCGAGAGCCGCCACGAGAAACGAGTGCAAACGCATCATAAACTTGGGACGGACCGGCAATGTGAGTGCTGGCAAGCAAGAGCCAAGACGAGAAGAAAAAATAATTGTTAGAATACTGAGTTTTTTTGTCGTCGGTCGTCGAAAAAGAAGTCCCTGCCCCTTTAACCGAAAAATACCATGTACTTGGATTCTCCTGACAAAGAACCAGGGCCACGGTAACGGTGCACCCACGAGACGCTTGCGGTACGGTACTACTTGATGCTGTACAAAGCGCTATCAGGCTCACCCGACTTCCTTGCTATTGATGTTCAGACGTTTCACCCAAACAAAGCCCATCGGGCCTTAACCATTTGTCAACCACACCACCAAAATTGTCAGCCAAAGGGTTGACAAATCGCCAACGCCCCCTAGACGGAATCATGTAGGCCGCTTGCACAACTTTATTGTCCCCCTGTATTGTTTTACTCTTTGAGCCTACACCCCCCTTACGCCCATCTCTTTGCCACCTAAACACCACGCGCCGTCCTTCTACGCACTTGTCGCGGTTTCTTCCTCTGCGCACTCGGCAGCAGCTGGTACAGCGACTCGAAGCTCTTGTGGTCCGTCGGCCACTCATTGTCCCACTGGTCCGGCACGAACCTGGGCGTGCCCACGATGTTCGGCTTGGACGCAAGCGGCCTGACCCCCTTGCCGCCATAGTACATGAAGTCGATCCTGTCGGGCGGCTCCTGCGACGCCGGGTGCAGCGGCGACCAGGTAATGCCCGGATCCAGCGCAGGATTGGGGTGCAGCGCGCGAAAGGTATCCTTGAGGCCGGCCGCGAGCGGGTACTTGGACGTCGGCCACTCATAGTACCCGACGCCGCAGTGCGCGTCCTTTGTCGCCGCGGTCCAGTCCAGCTGCGAAGGCGCGTTGAAGTCGCCCGTCAGGAACACGGGCACCCTGTCCGCGTTGGGGAGCAGCTTGGCCATCGCGGCGGAGATATCCATGATTTGCGGCGTGCGGCCCGACTCGGCCTCGCGCGCCGTCACCTGCGCGGCCGTCATGTTGCCGAAGCAAAAGTCGTAGGGCCCGTACGGGTCGTAGCCGAGGTGCGCCGTGTAGAAGATGATCTCGCTGTCCTTGCCGTCGAGCTGGATGCGCACCGCGGCGGCCGCGTCGTTGGCGTCGAGGGCCTCGACGATCGGGTAGCGCGACAGGATGGCCTTGTCGCCCTTGTCGTGGTGGTAGTAGCCGAGCGCGTCGGCGAGGCGCGCGCCGGCGTCGCCGGGCCTGACCGTCTCCTGCAGCCCAATAACGTCGGCGTTGGTGCTCGCCAGGTAGCTGACCTGCTTGTAGTGGCTGTGGTGGACGTACGCGCCGCCGATCCAGAGGTTCATCGTCGTCACCTTCAGCTTGTCCACCAGCGGCGCGTCGACGGCCGCGACGGGAATGGTGACTTGCAGCGTCGTCTTGGAGCCATTGTCTGCGGTGGCGCCTACCACCACCGTCGTGGTGCCGCGGTCGCCTCTGGCTGGCGTGCCCGAGATGACACCGTCGCGGCCGACCTTGACCCAGCGCGACGGCGACGAGTCCGACACGAGCCTGAACGTGAGCGCCGGCAGCCGGCCCTTGACCAGCCCCGCCACGCGCGCCGAAAACGCACCCTTCTCGCGCGCGTTTTGCGTGGTAAAGTTGCTCACGATGAACGCAACAGGGCCCGTCTCGCCGCGGTTCAGCGCCGCCACGGGGCCGGCGAGCTTGGTGAAGCCGCTCTTGGCCAGGAACCAGGCCGTGTACTCGCCGGGCTGGGCGTTGGGGGCTGCAACCTGCACGGTGCCGCGCTGATCGGGCGCGTAGGTCCAGCTGAGGTACTGCGTGCGCTGGTCGGCCGCGGCCGGGTTGTAGCCCTTGGGGTAGATGGCAACCCAGTTGCTCGTGTACGGCGCCGTCGTGGCGTAGTCAAAGGTGAAGACGGGCTTGCTGGAGTCGTACTGGAGACTGCTTGCGGCGCTGGCCTGCCAGGTCAGCAGAGCTGGCACCAGTGCGGCGATCAGCTTCCGGAACTGCATCGTAGAAATACAGATGTTAATGGTAACCAGACTTGGAGGCTTACACGAACCAACATCAGACAGGGCGCTACAGAGGTATTTATAGATTCAGATTAACCCCCCTCGCACCCCAATTCCATTTTCCATAAGCTTTGGGTTTTGTCCAATCTTCTCTCAAAGTTTAGAAGTACTGGTTACAACGTAGTCAAGGAGCAGAAGGTTCTCGCCCGCGTCTTGGCGGAAGATTGGATAATTACCCAATAGCTTTTGGAACTAATTCAACGTGACTTCACTAATACAGTGGGTTTTGGATCTAGTTTCCCTCTACAATGCTCTTGGTGCTGGCAGCTTTTGTTTCCATTACGTCCTGGCGCAGTTCGCCTGCGAACTAGCGTGACGGACTTGCGGGATCCGGGCTCTATCCGACGTAACTCGGCACCCATTAGACAGGTAAACGGAAACCAGGACGCTAGACCCGAAGATGTATAATGAACTTTGTACCAATGCAGTTCCGCTTACCTAGATCATCGTTAAACCTTCGCAGACTAGGATGTGTCTTGCAACTCCGTCACCAGAAGCAACGTCGGCTATGAACATCTCGCCACCAGGAGCGAGACTCATACTCGAAGATCTGTGCCGTGGCCGACGATCGCACGAACCGGGAAATGGGTGAGCACAGTTTCTGCCAAGCGATGGACAGTGACACAGAATTTCACAGAATGCCTTGGCACAGGCTCGGGCCAACTAAGCGCAGGTATGGCCGAGCTACAAAGGTTACACTTCCGCCATGATCGTGAAAATGGGGAATACGATGTATCGATCATGACACGGCTAATACTGATATTCAGTCATATTTCACACGAGCAGCTGCAAGTTGACGACGTGCTAGCAGACACTAGTTGGTCAATGTGACAATTCAGCCACGTCTATTGCAGGACAGGCAAGTTGTGTGTTCTAGTTGATGATGAAATAACAATCTCGTATTGTACAGAAATCTTCGAGTCAGGAAACCAAATGCCTGTCCAGATTGCCAAGCTGGCTGTACAAAAAAAAGGGAGCCTAGTTAGCCGAAGGTATTCCAGGTTATGCATCTTCCCACGTTCCCACGCCCCGGCTCATAATATCCGAGGCTTCTCCGCAAAGGCAATATCCCTTGCACGGAGCGAGGTATTCAAGGGCAGCCGACATCGTGTCTCGGCCAGTCCATATTACAGGCCAAAGGCGAGGTAGAGGGTGCCGAGCAGGCTGGCGCCCAGGATCGCGCGCTCGCCGGTGCGAATCTGCGTCTTGGTAAAGCCTTTGAGCACGTCAAAGCTTAGATGGCGGATACCGTTGATAAAGTGGAAGACAAAGGGGAAGCCGAGGCCAATTTTGACGAGGCCCTGGACGGCAAACGGTAGAGCGGCGAAGCCGGCGACCAGGCTCTGTGACTCGACGTGGAAGCCGGCGAGGGGGGCGATGAGGTAGGTGATGAAGTAGGCGTAGGCGGCGCCGGAGAGCGTGCAGCCTGTGATACGGGTCCAGGCCGAGGGGGAGAACCAGGTCTGCGCGCGCTTGTAGATGCCGAGATGGGGAGCGATCGGACGCAGTAGACGCTGCTTGGCGAGGATGTCCTGGCCCTGCGTGGGCGATAGGGTGGTAGTTTCAATCGGGCTATAGTGGGTGATGCCGATCCGTTAGTCTCGGTTATGATGTTGGAGGACGCCTGCGATCGATGCAGTTTGGGTTGAGGCGTCGAGTGTCGCGGGAGCGCTTACCGAGCCTGGGTGGTGGAAATGCGCGCAGCCATGGCCAGACGGGGCATGTTCTGGCTGAAGGCGGCTGTGAGGGAGCACAAAGATGTTAGTGATGCGTTCGAGACGGTGTGGCACTTCAATCGCCGACGTCAATTGAGGGCGTGGACGGCGCGTGCAAGAGCCGGAGCACACGAAGATAACTCAAGAGATTGCTTACCTCTGCGCATGGCGGCGACACCGACACGTTGGGCGATCATGGTTGCGGAGTGTTTGACGGGCTCGAAATGGAATCGAGTCGCAAAGGGGAATTGGTCGATGATGTCGTCAATATGGCGGAACCCCGGTGGCGTGGCTCTGGTGTTTGTTCTTTTCGGGAGAATCGAGCACCTGGTGATGGTTTGGATGGTCGGGTGGCCACGGATTATCCGAGGTTATGGTGCACCATTGATACCCACTTTATCAGTTTGCTGGGGAACGACAGAGGTACTTCCCCTTTGCGGGTTACTCCACCGTGCACTAGGTACCCCTCTTCCTGAACACTACTACGTAAAGAGAAGGAAAGCAAGTTCAGCAACATGATAAAATAACAAGCGAAGAAATAAAAATAATTGATAACAAGACTCCTCTTCAGAAGTTGATATAGCAAGAGTATGTAGGAATCTTGTAAAGAACCCAACCAGCGAAGCCGAAACTAATTCACTGTCAGTTAGCTGTAGATTGTCCTCAGGTGTTAGCTGTGTGTTTGGGCCGAAAAGTGTAACCCGTGGCACCCCGTTGTTATTAGTGAGCGTTGACGATTACCACTGGCTTAAACTATAAGGATTTTCGTCTTTGTCCATCCAGGGCCACAGTCTTCGTACAATGAGCATTGCATCCTTTTTTCTTCTGTAGGATACTATCGTATCGCTGGGATGACATAATAAGGAGCATCACTGACTTGGTCATTTTCGTCAACGAGCAACATACCGACGGAACATTTGAAAGCTATGCAAGTAACAGTCGAAAGAAGGTATAACAAAGCTTGCGCACCAATTCCACACTACCGAATCGATCTATATAGTTTTCGCCATCTACCATAGGTAGCCAGCATAATGTCTCGGGAGATTAGAAGACAGGGCTAGTATTATTTTTAGCTGATGTGGTACAGTATTGGCATTGTGGCGGGCTGTCGATATGATCGGGACCTAAATTACTGTGTAGGCCATCGACGGACGAGTCGCCGATGTAAGGTATTATTCATTACAGGGGAGCCGATGGAGCGAGGTTCTAGTTTCCCTAAGGGGCAGGATAAATGTTGTGCATCCCACCTCGGTATGTGCCGAGCTTCTGGCAGGAACATAGGCGAAAAGACGAAAAAGGTCGACAATATCAGGGGACCTGCGATTTCCAATGACGGCCTCATCGCAAAAAGGAGTACATATCGTTTCATTTAATAAGGACCACGTTATGGCACCACAGATCTCGGGAGGGTGCATAATTGAGGCACAATTCAGGGAGATACAGGGATATGCAGGGGCAATCAGGCACAAGCTCCACCATGGGCACACCAATCCCCTCTCGATCCTTGGTTTTCCAGGACCACGAACCCTCTCGAACCCTGTGATGCAGCAGGCGCCAGACCAAAGCCGGCATGGTGGCAGAGGCAGTGCAGCTTGTCTCAGACGCTGGCTGGCTCAATTGTTTTTTTTTTGGTCGCACTGAATCAGCCGTTTTTCGTGTCCGTTTGTTTGTCGTTTGTTCCAGCCAGGGGAAACCGTGAATCACGTGCAGCGCTTGTACCACCTCACTCCATTCCTACGGCCTCGTACTGCTTTGCTTCAACCACCTCCCTTTCTTCCTTGGTTGTTCTTCGTCCTTCCCTTTTATCTTCGTTCTTTCTCGTTTCTGTATCACCTCACTACGCCGCTCGTTCTCCGTGCGGCTTCGTCACTCCTTTGACAAACAATACAAAACTTACACACTCCCTTTCTCTTCTATTCGTAATACATTGTCCATACCGCGATCCTCCGCAAACAAACCATCACCATGCATCTGACATCCACTCTCCTCGCTGGCGCTGCCGCCGTCGCCTCGGCCGCCGCCGCCGAAAACTACCTCGGCTTCAACTCGGGTTCCACGCTCGCCGACCGCTCCGCCAAGTTCAAAAAGGATTTCGAGGCCGAGTTTAAGACGGCCCAGGCCCTCAACGGCGCCCCCGGCAAGTTCAACGCCGTTCGCCTCTACACAAACATCCAGGCCTACGCCACCGACGACCCCATCGAGGCGTTCGAGGCCGCCATTGATACCCAGACCTACCTGCTGCTCGGCATCTGGACCTCAGGCACCGACAACATCAGCAAGGAGCTGAGCGCCCTCCAAAAGGCTGTCACCAAGTACGGCTCCAAGTTCACCGACCTTGTCATTGGCATGTCCATTGGCTCCGAGGATCTTTACCGCAACTCGGTCACCGGTACCAAGAACAAGGCCGGTGTCGGTGCCGACCCCGAGGTCATCGTCTCCTTCATCAAGGACTACAAAAAGGCCTTTGACGGCGGCGCCCTCGCCAAGGTCCCCATCGGCCACGTCGACACTTGGGACTCGTGGACCAATAGCTCCAACAAGGCCGTCATTGACGCTGTCGACTGGGTCGGTGTCGACGAGTACCCCTACTACGAGAACGACAAGGGCAACAACATCAAGAACGCCGGGAAGCTCTTCGACAAGGCGTACCTCGCCACCAAGGCCGCTGTCGGCGACAAGCCTGTCTGGGTTACCGAGACTGGCTGGCCCGTCACCGGTGAGAAGTGGGACGAGGCTGAGCCTTCTGCCGAGAACGCCAAGTACTACTGGGACGAAGTTGGCTGCCGCCAGCTCTTTGGCAAGGCGCCTACTTTCTGGTACAACCTTCGCGACTCCAACCCTGACAACACCATGAAGTTCGCCATTACCAAGGACCTGAGCACCACCCCCCTGTTCAACCTGACCTGCCCCACCACCTTTGACACCGACAGCAGCGACTCGTCCTCTTCCGCCAGCTCGGGCTCTAGCACCGCCACCTCCCGCTCCGACGGCTCGTCCACATCGCTCTCTTCTCCCACCAGCTCTGGCTCATCTGGTTCCGGCCCGAGCTCCGGCTCGGCTGCAGCCACCTCTTCTGCTGGTTCTTCTAGCGCTGGCGCCAGCGGTTCCGCCAAGGCCACCGCCGCCAGCGGCTCAGGCGCCGGCAAGATGCTTGCCTCGAGCACCGTCGCTGGCGTCCTTGCTCTTGCTGGTGCCTTTTTCCTGCTGTAAGCGCATCCAATCTGACATGATTTGATTACACACAGCTAGTGAGCGCCGTACTTCCAGCACTGTCTTTTTGTGTCCATGTTTGCATGCTGGTCGGATATCGGCGCGGATAGACATTTGTACTTTAATTCCATAGACGCATCAAGCATCGATTTCAGTTGCTGCAGCTAATACTGTTCATTGTACCCCGCTTATTCGCCTTGGCCCATGTTTTTGCTCTAAACTATCCCAGTGTATAACTACTGACCACTAGATATTACTCGGCTTTTGGCCACCACGCCCGGCTCTAGCCGTCTCCAGATCATGATCAGCGCTGGCTGCCTATATCATTTCCAGTCGTATATATATTATATCATATTTCTTGAGTTGATAACAAGATGCTCAAATCTTTTTGCAGAAACCACTTACGAGCACTTGTGCACAGTGACGGAGCGCCACTTTGGTGTGTCGACAAATGTCGAATTAACCATGACCTCGGTCACAGTCACCATCTTCGGGAACAGATCAATCTTTTTATGGCCAACGCTCGTGCCCTTGGACAACAGACCCCAGTCCGCGCCCGTGCTCTGCCTGCCCCAGACGCGGTAGGTCCGTATCACCTGGCCGTCCGTCTGGTCCTCCATGAGCACGACGCGGTCAATCTCCACAGGCTCGTCAAACACGAGCGTGTAGCTGCCGTCGCCGCCGGCCGCGCCGCCCGACGGCCGCACGGGGTGGTCGTAGCACCGCCGGACAAAGTCGCCGAGCGCCCTGTACCGCGCGACGTGGGCGGCCGGCACCAGTCCCCGGCGGTCGGGCGACAGGTCCAGGGCGAGCACGCAGTTGCGGCCGACCGTCTCGTGGTACACCCTGATGAGCGCCTCGAGCGAGCGCAGCGGCGCGTCGACGCCAAAGAACCAGCGGCCGCCCGCCTGCAGCGTGGTGTCGCACTCCGCCGGCGTGAAGTACGGGCTGTCGGGGCTTCCTGACTTGAGGAGGCCGCTATGGGGAATGGGTTAGTTGATGGTTCTCTCTTTTTTTCGGACGGGGACAGGGAGGGCCTCACGTGGACCAGTTCTCCTCCTCGGCGTGGCCTAGCTCGTTGCCGATCCAGCGGACTGTGGCCTGTTAGGAGAGGTATCTGGAAGGGCTTGGATGTTGAGAACGGACTAGATTTGTCTGAAACACAGGTGGCGTCGTCTTGGCAGCCGTTGAAGATGACAGCATTGGGCTGGGTCTTTTGCAGAAGAGTCTGAATGCGATCTTTCTGATCACCGCTGTAGCCGCCATCGAACCAAATCTGTATGTGTAAGCTCACGTTCGCAGCAGGGTTCACGTTTTGTCGACGCCTACCTCGGTCAGGTTGCCGTATCTCCCCCATAGCTCCTCCAGCTGCTCAAAGACAATCTCGTTGTACACGTCGGTGGTGATGCCGACCTGACCCGGCGCGGGCGCGACGTCGCGAACACGCGAGGCCTGCACATTGAGATAATTGTTGACCACGACACTATAATAAAACCCGTGGCCCAAGCCGTACTTGCTCGCCGACCGGACAAACTCGCCAACCACGTCCCTGCCGTTGACCGGCGACTGGGCCACCGTGTAGTTGTACGCCACCGTGTCGCCCGCCAGGTCCTTGAAGCGGACCTGCGTGGGCCAGGTGGCGAAGCCGCAGTTGTGGTTGGCGACGAGCGTGGCGTACCGGCCGCCCAGGCTCTGGACGGCCTCCATCCACTGGTCCGTGTCGAGCTGCGCCGGGTCGAAGAGCGCGCGCGGGGGCACCAGCGCCGGGTCCCCGTTGCAGCCGTCGGCGGCGATGTAGGTGGCCATGTTGAAGTGAACCAGGCAGCCCATCTCGCGGTCCTGGAAGGCGAGCTGCGCTCGGGTCGGCAGCGCAATCGTGGAGCCGTCGAGGGGTGAGAGGCGCCACTTGCCCGGGGAAGTAGGGCCGGCGCCGTCCCGGGTCCGGAGCCCGTGGGCCGCGACCGAGGAAAAGGCCGCAATGAGTCCGGCGGCTGTCTTCATGGGGTTTGAATGACAGGGTTCTTGTTAGGAATATTTGATTGGATGTATTGCTTTGAGAGAAGACGAAATTAGAGGTTGCCGGTAGAATATGATGTTGCATGCAGGGTTATATAGATCCAGCATGTCAACGGCATGTACCAATTGAATCACCGAGCTGCTCTGTCCATCAGCAATTTATTCAGAATTATCCGCCGGGCCCCAGCTCCCGGATGGGGACGACCGGCGCTGATGTGTCCATGAAGAGCACAGTGGCAAGCCGTACTGAACTGTACGAGAACTATCCGACCTGCTCAAGTTGGTCAAGTAGGTCAAGTCGATCAAGCCTAAACCCAACAGAATTCATAGGATTAAATCCACTGTCCCCGAAAGCATTAATACCAACAAGTTCAATTCCGCGGTCCAAAGGTAGTGGGGAAATATCTCCCCGCCCTGGCTTGATCGCCAAGAGATCAGTCGCAGGCGAGAAACCGAGGAGGGAAATTAGCCGTCGGGTGTAGTGCACATGCAATATTACAAGTACATCAATTCTAGCTTGCGACCTAGTTTTCTATTGGCAGCTGAAAGAACCCCGCATCTACTTACGAGTCCGGCACTTGTGAGGGCACCTTTGCAACGGCATGTTACATTCTGCTGGTGGGCTGGTGGTGGATGTGCTGGCGTCCAGGAGTGTGCCACGGTTCCCGCTATAGGAAAGAAAGAGGTGCCATATACAAGGGGAATAAAGTACGAAAATGAAACCTTGAATCTGTGCGACCTTTTTGCAGCGTCTGCAGCGCTATAGCCAAGTCTAGAGAGACAGGAATTGATGTCGTGCGGATTAGCAAAGACATTCAAGTTTCCTACTGAGATGGCATGTAATTAATCACCATCTCAAGGCCGTGTTATATCAATATATGATGAATACCTAGAACTTTACATTGGACCTACGCAAAGGTCCGATATCGATGATTAAGGCCCTGGTCAGGCTGTCGTGTAGGGTTGCCCGCGCGTTGACAGTCGTCCTCGACAATAACCTCATCGCCAGCTTATATACAACAGTAGGCAAACATATCAACATGTACGACCATAGCCGAGTGTCAAATCTGGATCCCGTCTGATCTCCGAGCGATAACCACTCGAGCGCTTGAGTAGTAGCTGGGTCGGTGACGACCAGCGAACTCCAGGTGTTGTACGTTTCTTTTTGCAGCCTCTACCAACTAGCCTCAGCTGTTCCGCCTGCTGGCGACAGCTGTGCATGAGTTGATAAATCGAGATGTATTCTGCATAGACGAGACGAAGAAGCTGTTCCTAGTCAAAACAAAAACATCGAGTTGGTATAAAGACATGCTTGTATTGGGCAGACTCGATTCGTCGAGTAGCTGCGGTGTATTAGATAGTTTGTAGAGTAAGCTATGCCACAGGTAGAGATACAAGAAAAAAAGCGAATAACAAGTTGTGGTTTCTGTTTGCAGGTAATGCCTCGCATGCGCTATGCTTACGGCATTATGCCAGCCTGCGTGCTATGTATATTGGTGTCTGTCACACCCCACAACCTGTTTGCAGGATTCATCCTTTCAAATTGAAACAATTTTGCCATGTTAAAAAAAAATAAACCAAATGTGCCAAGAAAAGCAAAGAGTCATCAAGAGTCGTAAAAAGAAGAATTGTTCCGTTTTCAAGACTCGCTTAGAGGGTCTTGGGGGCGGGACCGAGGACGTCGTGGACCATGCCCTTCCAGAGGTCACGGATCATGTGGCCGCCGTGCTCCGTCTCGGGCGCGGGCCCGTCGTGGGCAAACTTGAGCTCGATGCCGTCGAGGGTGAGGCCCTCGACGGCAGACAGCGGGGTGGCGGGGGCGACGCGGTCCGGCTCGGCGGCGAAGATGGTGGGCTTGGAGAAGGCGGCCTCGGGGACGGGCGGGGCGGGGGCGTGGGCGGCGCCGTAG